TTTGGTCCATCATTGGAGTATGAATCAAGGTTTCCTAATTAAAAAACAGTAACAAAAAAAAAACACGATTACTTTGAAGGGTGACAAAAATAAGGAAACTCCAATTCGAAACATGAAGATGTAATTGAATAAAAAAAGGACTAAATTGAATTAAAATAATTGTTTTGATGTTGTCAGACATGAGTGACAAATCGATTACGATACATGGTGTAGAGCGACGTTGTTGTTAAATGCATCGATTACGATACATGTTGTTAAATGTTTCGACACACCATAACATCATCAACCTCTTCTTTTATAACCATAAAATAGCACAAACAAACAAAACTGAAAAAGATAAATATATTGGATCTTTTTTCTAAAAGATGATAAAATTATTATACTTCTACTTATACAATAAAAGACATTAAAATTATCATATGATCATTACGAATTTAATATTTAACATCGGAGATTAAAATGATAAAAACTAATTAATGAAAAATAATAAAACTTTAAACGTTAAATAAAATAAGGGAATAAAATGGAACATTGTTAAATAAAATGACTTAACTGCATCAAACATTAAGCTTATAAAAACATTAAGTGAAATATAAAATATAAGGTTTTGTGTTATTAAAGGACCACACCCGACATGTAGAATTAGTTCCGACGGGAACACCACATAGGCTAGGATGGTGACCATACTCAAGAGCTCCACCGGGTCATGGGCGGAGCTTTATTAGGGCGAGGAGGGCTGTGGCCCCTTCTCCTGATTTTTTTTGTTACAAATAGCCCCTTATATTTTCATTTTATACATATTAGACCGAAAAATATAAAATTTTGGCGGTGGTTCCCTTGATCACCGATTTTTATACATATTATATTTTCGGCCTCCAAATCATATGTTGAAGCTCTTCCACTGCACCGGGTGGAACAACGTTGCATTTTTTTTTCCTCTTTTACTTTTTGAAAAGAAAACATAATACCTCTTATAATACCCATAAACTTTAATATATTTTTTTCAGACCACCCAGCCAACACTCTCTTATTTTCTCTCTTATTAACCTCTAAAATGAATTTTCAAAGTCCCTCAATTTTCACAACGCCGCTATCATCATGTAGCCGACCTCATCTTCCTAACACAACCATAACCACAACCATACTCGCACCCACTTCCACCTCTGATAATCTATTTTCTCTTGAATCTTCACCACAACCATACATATCGCACAATATGATATGCTTTCATTCATTCAATTCAACCCCGTATGTTTTCTTCAACCCCTTCATATTTTTCCTGATAGAAGCATAACCAATCTTTCATAACATCAACCACTTAAACTATTGTTATACCACTATTTTTATTTTCTTTTTCCTTTCTATGCCCTCATCAGCATCACATCATCTCCACTCAATTTTCAATCAAATTTACAATCTATGTTATACTCTTTTTTCACCATTGTCGTACTTTTTATTGTATTTTTTTAATTTAAAGAAATAATGCAATTATCTTAACACTTACTTTTATTATTTGTATTAAAAAGAATGAAAGATGAAAAACGAATATAATATAGGTTGAAAGAAAGCAATGAGAGTGAAAATGATATGGCAATGACAAACATAGAAAGGAAGAAAAGAAAAGGAGAGGTTTAACAATAGCCTAAATTAAGTGGTTGATATTCTTAACCAAAAAACATTTCACTCCAACGGTATAAGAGCTCCCATATACTATTGGAAATAGTTATGTGAAGAAAATAATCATAATATCACATGGGTTCACATTCTTTTAAAATCGTAAGTTTTTCTAAGATGTTAAACATAATATGGGAAAAACATACACACAAATTAATACTCACAGAGAACAAATTCAAAGTCATACCATATGTGATTTAGTAAGAATATCATCAGATCCAGAAACAAACCAAATTTTGAGAAAAAAAAAAATCCACCGTTATAAAAACATGTAAAAAAAAGCCAATACCTACAAAATTTAATTCATTGCTTTGATTATAAAAACGCAGGGAATTAAGGACCTTGAATCTCTAAATCAGCTTCAGTGAGATGATGTTTTCTTGGAGTTTTGAATATTTTTCTTCCTTGTCTTGAGAGTATCCACACTTGCCTTTTTCCTTTCTTGCGAAATCTGGACACAAAGAAACACAAATTAAATAAACAAAACATATGATGGGCTTCTTGATTTAAAAAAAAAAAGAGATATATACAATTGAAACTAACCTTCATGGCTTCATAAAGTCTCCTCTTTTTACGTGACATGGTAACCTTTGACATGTTGTCATTATCATCAGCAAACTGCTGCAGATTTTGATCATCATCTTCCGTTTCTTCATCATCAACGTTCTTTTTCTTCTTCTTGCCCTCTTCAGCTGTAGCGGGTGTGTGTTGTGTTGTCCCTTCCAGTTCCTTTTTTAGTTCATGATGATACTCCTCTTGAAGCATCGCCATCTGCATCCCCAAGGGGTAAAATCGTCATTTCACACAGCACCATCCAACTCATAGACTAAGGAGCTGTTTCTTTTCTTACTTAATGGGTTTATCGGGGGTTAAGCACACTAAATATAATGAATATCGTAAATAAGTTTTCTGGGATGCAAGGGCATAATGGTCATTTGCCGATCAAGAAAAGATACCAAAATTTATCATTAATTATTCATTCAATCATTGGAATGTAAGGCGTTATCACACAGGGAGCAAGAAGAAAGAAAGATTCTTTTGGGGACCAAATCCGAGAGGATGACCAAAGCACAAGGACCAAAAATGTAAATTTGTAAAGCAGGAGGAAAGGAACCTTTCTTTTTCTTTCAGCAGCTTCTTTGGCTTTAGTGCGATCGATGATGCCTTCAGCAAGTAGATTTTGGGCATTATCAAGATCATCTTGTTCGCCACCTGGCATTGGGAGGATCTCTTTTCTAGCAGCAGCTTGATGCCTTTTAATGGTCTCTGCATACTCGGGTTCATGTCCTTCTGCTTCATTATCAACAAATGGAGACAAATGTGGTGGAAGAACCCTGATTTACACACAATGACAATGTTAAGAACTATTATCATCTTTTGGTCCCTGGGTATTGTTTTTTATTTAAATTTTAGTCCTTATTTGAGTTTTTTGTAATATTTTTTGGTCTAGGTTCCAAGTAAAATGATTATACTTCTAGGACCAAAATTGCAAAAATCAGCTATATTGAGGCCAAAAATAATCATTTTACATGGAACATAGACCAAAAATGTTACAAGAATCTAAAATAAGAACCAAAACTGAAAGAAAACTTTTTGGGACCAAATTGCAAAAATCAGCTTTACTCAAGGACCAAGAATGTCTGTTTTACTTTGAACAAGGAACAAAAATGTTTCAAGAGCTTCAAATAAGGACTAAATTTGTAAAATAACACTTTTTGGGACAAGGATTGCGAAAATCAGCTATAGTCCGGGATCGAAGATAATCATTTTACTAGGAAAAAAAGACCAAAAATGTATAAGAAAATATTTGGGACCTTATTTGCAAAAATCAGATATACTCTACTCTGGGACCGAAAATAGTCATCTTACTTTGAACAAGGAACAAAAACATTACACGAATCTCAAATAAGGATTAGAATTGTTAAAGAACACTTTTTGGGACCAAAAATGTAAAAGAACGCTTTTTGGCACCAAAATTGCAAAAACCAGCCATAATCTGGGACCAAAGATGGTCATTTTATGTGAAAAGGGACCAAAAACATTATAAGAACCTCAAATAAGGTATAAAATTGTGATAAAAAACTTTTGAGGACCAACTTTATAAAAATCAGCTATACTTAGGGACCAAAAATGTAATTTACTCTATTAAAAATTAATATATTAAAAGGTGGGTGTTTACTGAAACTTACTTCCCAACAATATAGTCTTCGGTTGGTAGTATAATTCGTGCATTTATGCAATCAAAGACCCATTGTGGCTGTATATAATCTCTGGAAATAAACCGGTGACTTTGACTTGGCCTATCAACAATCTACAAAAATAAAACATCAGAATAATACTAATAATTAGTAAGAAATATATAAAAGAATTTTTTTTTTATAATAAAATAATAAAATACCTGATAATTAATGCTCTGGTTAGATTCCTCAAATGGAGCTCCATCTCCCTCCCATGAAACCACACCACCAAATGCCGTAATCACAAAAAGCAATGATTCTCTTGGAACCTGTAAAAAAAATCGACACTCACTTTAACACGATGAAAGAAGCTTGAAGGCTAAGCAATTATTCAATTTAAAAAAAACAAAAAAACAAAAAAAACAAAAAAAAAACATCGACTTTATTTACCTCACGACTCAAGAAGAATGTCATGTCTTTGAAAAGGGTTTTACATGCTCTTGTTTCTTCATCATCTTCATTCTCATCAGCAACATTTTCAACATACCTTGTAAAAGCATATAAATCTGTACAAATTTTTAAAAAGTTAAGTTACCTTATGATATCTAGTAATAATCTATATTCTATGATGTGATAGAAAATTCATACCTGAAGCTGAAGCTTTCAGTCGAGGATCAAGGATAGGTGGGTATTTCAAATTAATCGAATTGTAGAGTTTGAAATTAACAAAACCTAAGAGATTCTGCATATTTAATCAATTTATATGTAAGTAAGAGTTAAAACAAAAAGATATATAATATTCATAAGAAAGGTAGAAGCTTGATCATTATCACAAACCTCGTATAATTCCAAGAATGTAAGCATGATCTTGTAATCTACATCTTGAGGCATTACTTGTTGTAGTGCATGAGGCGTCAACCATGTGATTTTTTGCCCTTCAACCTCTGCCTAAAAGGGGCAAATTGGTAATTTTACATTCTACATAACATCAAATTTATATTTATACATGTGATGATTTCTATACCTGGTAATATATGCCTTTCACAGATATGAAAGCCTTTCGCAATTTATGTGTGCGAGAGACATATGCTTGCCACTCAAGACTCAACCTAAAGAAATTAAAACATATAAACCATTAAGATATAAATTTTAGATATTCAAAATATGGGAACACATTACACATACCCTCTACAACTATGGATTCTTTCTACTTGAATGTTTTCCCTTTCTATAGCAGGTAATGCAGCAAAAAGATGCACCATGGTGAGTCCATCATCCAAATCTCTTAATGCATCAATGAATGTTGGATACCTGAAGTCAAATTTGTAAAAAGTTACGACTTAATTGGGAAAATCTTCTTTATACTTTTCTATCAAGTTCTTTCCTGCATTTAGTAAAAAAGAAAGACTAGTATATAGTTATATACTATAGGTATATAGCATACCGGATTAAGTAATGTCCTCATTGAGTCAAAAGGAAAATGCAACAAAAAGTGTTGTATAAGTTAGATATATAATGACACTAACCTCTCAAGGATAGGCCTATCAAGTGTGTAAGAAGGCTTGTGTGTTGACACGCGTTCAACAAGATCTTTGTTCTTCTTAGACATTGCTTTCTTTTTCTTTTTCTCATATGTCCTAGCCTCACGAAACTTGACAAGAAGTGGGTCATGTTTAAGACCCAAAATATCTTTCATGTGATAATAGGTATGGTGATTTCCCTTCACTTTTTTCTTTGGGTCTCGAGGAAAAACGTTTTTGAAGATACATAATTTCCTATTGAATCAAAAACAACCAAAACATTTGGATTATTAGAGTATATATACACAATTGAAAATATAGAACCTCTTATGAATTGTATACGTACCAAATATTTAACTATCAAATACACAACACAAGAGAGTAACTATTCAAATCCACATTATTACATGTTTTGCTTTTTAAATCAATAAGACCCTTGATCATGGTAGTAAAGGACATCAAATTAGGGTTATGGACTTCTTATCATCACTCCAAACTAGGGTTTTTCACCTCTTATCTCAAAAGCGCTCATTGAAGATAAATCAATACATTTAACAACAAAAACTTCTTCAAATTCTTCCTTCTACATCCTCATTCAAAACACTCAATATGAATATACATTTAACTACGTCGATTGTAAATTCAAACATTAATGAGCTTTTGTGCTTCTTATCTCACCTCATATATACACATCTATATATCTACAACATACGCCAAGATTCAAAGCAAATTAATACCTGAACACGGAAAGACTGACTTGCAGGTCCTTAACAGCTTGCGACCTGGTGATGTATCTGGCGGCGTTCCCTTCCTTCTTCTTCCCCTGCGAACCACAAGTGAAAAACGCAACATAAAAACGATATTCATCCGTGTAGGGAATTACTTGTAAGTTTCATTTGAAACTTACTGGAGGCCTGTAATGTTTAGGCATGGCTGCTAGCAGTCACGACTCTGCTTCTAGGAAAGATGGTGAGGTACGGTGCTCCGGTGAAAGGTGACTCGGCCAGTTGAAATCCTTTCTCTGGAGAGGGAAAGGGCGGCTGTGGGTGGCCGAAGTTCGGCGACGAAGAAAGGGAGGCGTATGTTCTTCGATCGTGAAACTATATATCTTACGGTTTTCACGTTAAAAAGGTATTATACTACCACATTAAGGTAATGTCGGTGTTACCATATTTACCTCCCCTCAACTTTGAGAAATATACTTTCCACCCCTTGTCTTCTTTTAACTTTCAAAAATGATATTTTTTATTCCAACATTTCGCAAAATGTTATTTTAAGTCCTTCTATTTTTAACCTTTTAAAATATCAGTTTCAACCCTTTTATTTTCTAACTTTTTATATTTAACCCAAAAAATTACTTGTTTTTGTATGTATGTTTAGGTATAAATTTGGTTTTTTTTCTATTTAAAATATCAGTTTCAACCCTTTTATTTTCTAACGTTTTATATCTAATAACTCGTTTAGTATTATATGAATGAATTTGGACCCTCCACCCGACCCCCACATCATTTTTATCCTTCACAATAATCCACCATGATAACCAAAACTTTGGCCGCACTCTACTCCTCATGCAACAGGGTTATAAAGACCAAACAAGGAAACATGTAGCAAATTGTCTATTAAAAGCCTTATTCCACTTAAAATAGATATTTAACTAATCTAATTAGTTCTTATCTTCGACTTTTTCCCAAATATTAGCCAACAAGTCTTATAGTATAAATTAGACCAACATGTCATATAAATTAGGACTTGGAACTAATTTTACCGCGAAACCAAAAAGACTTATCTTCCATCTTTTCTCTCAAGTAAAGTACATCACGTGCATGTTGGAGGTGACATCAGGAGAATGGTCAGAAATTATGGAAAAGTGCACACATGGGTGCAAAGCTCTTTGTTGGATGGTGTCTTAGGCTTACCCTTTGTGATATGGATTTTTTGGGTGAGGCTTGCATATATATACTTGTATAGTTTACATGTATAGGTTTGAGAGAGCTTCTATTATATAGATTTCTAGTATAGTTCTAGTTCTAGGGAGATAGAGAGAGTACGAGAGATAGATAGATAGAGAGTAAGAGAGAGAGAGAAAGAGAGAAAGAGAGCAGTATAGTAAGCAAGCACATGCTTCTATATTTTTTGTATTTTCTTTAATATCTATATAAATTTGTGCTTAAACTTTAACCTGATTCTTATCGATTATGCATTGATTCTTTAATTCTGCATTGGTCATCTTCATTGGGATCCTACATATGGTATCAGAGCTTAATCTTGAAGGTTTAACAACTTTTCAAAATCAACGATCCTAGATGGCAATATTTTTGTGTGTAATTAACTTGAAGATTCAAATTTTTTGGTGAGTCTCTCCATTAGATATATTTGCTTTCAATTTCAAATTTGTTAATCCAATTATCTTTTTAATTCAAAATCTATCGAAATCTCTCGGAATCATGCTCTTGAAATCGTTTTTGATCATTTTGATTCCATTGGATATATTTGCTTTTATTCCAAATTTTGTTGATCCATTTAATTTTCATTCTCATTGGTTACAATCATTTTTATTCAATTTTATTAAGTTTAAGAGTCCAAAATGTTGATCCGATCATTATTCGATTCATAAGCCTAATTAATTCAAATTTTCTTTGGATTGTTACTGTTCATATCCTATTTTTTAGCCTAAAATCACTAATTCATTATTGTTCTTATCCAATTTTAAGCCCATCACGTTCAAAGATCCATCAAGATGCTTCCTAACTCGAAGCTCTTCACGCTTCACTCTTCACCTTCAAGAACTCCTCTAAACACTCTAATGGAGCTATAATGTTGCCATATTTATACATATTTTTAGGCAATATTTAAGTACATATTTATATATATTTTGGTCATTTGCATAGAATAATGATACTTATAAGGTTAAATTATATTTTGCAGCAAAAAAGAAGGCATTTTGAAGAAAGGGACTAAAAGCGTTAAAGGATGGAACTTTGAAGGTTGAAGGCTTGAAAGACAAGAAAAAACCACCCAGAAAATACGTACGACGTGAACAATTGATGGTTCACGACGTGAGTATAGAAAGTTAGAAGATAAGCATCCGGGGAGAGGAATCCTTGGAGATCACGATAACTTCGAGTTCACGACGTGAGTTTTTAATTCTCACGACGTGAACAGTGATTTTCCAGAAGATATATATATATATATATATATATATATATATATATATATATATATATATATATATCCTTCTCCATTACGATTGAGAGGACTTTTGGCTGAAGAAAGAGGTTCCAGGAGGCGAATTACAACAGAAGAAAGGTTTTTGAAAAGGTTTTTCAACACCAAGAGAGTAAAAGTTCATAATTTGTTTACTTGTTAAATACTTATGAACATGTTTTCTTATTTCAATTGTGTTTATGTGTTAGTTGCTACTATAAGCAGCTGAATGTAGCTACTCTTATTTAGCTAGATGAAGCTTCTAACTTATGATTAGCATAATTTTATATGGATTTATTTAGTTGGTGAATTGCTTGTGTTTGATTTATTGTTACCTAGCATGCTTATGTTATGACTTTAAGTTGCCTTAATTCATGTTGTGCATATCATAGTGACCATTAACCGCATGAACATGATAACCTAGTAATTTAATGAACATTGGATTGCTAGAGCTAGGATCAACCATAATCTTAGTGAGTAATTGAAGTAATTAATTTTTCTGTGCTAGAGAACATAAATGATGACCATAATTGTGTTTGCATGATAAATCTTACATAGCATATTCATAACATAATTGGTTTTGTGTTTAATTGTGTGTGACCATACATAGGTATACATGAATTAATTAACTATTGGTAAATTAGACCTAAATTACTAATATAATAACAACCAACTTAATAATCCATAATCATTAGCTAGCCATAAGGACGAAGTGGATTCGAACTAGATAGGAGTGTTGTTAATTATTGATTGAGTTTTTGTTAAAGAATTAAGTTCATCTAAACTTGCAAAATTAGATAAAACCCCTTTTAGCTCACTAATAGTTAAATTAATTTAGTAGTGAATAGATTAATTAATAACACTGTTCCCTATGATCGACACCCGACTTACCTAAGCTATACTGTAGTCTGACTAGGTACACTGCCTACAAGTACATAGTTAGTCTATGTTTGTTAGGTTATAAATATTAAAATTAGTGGGTACTTTCGTGCACATAAGGCTCCAAAAAGTCACTCTTTCACTTAGGGTTTCTTGGGGGTCGTTCTCACAGAGCGTAGCTGAAGAAGGACGAAGACATGAGGTTATAATGACATTTATATAGGGCCATACCCCTAAAAATTAGGGTTTGCATGATCTTCGTGTACGCCCAGTATACGAGTTGTACACTCAATGTAAACGAACTACAACGTGCCCTAATATGCTTGGCGTACACATGTACACTCAGCGTACTCCCCAAAGTCCGAATTTACCAAAGTGTCACTGTGGGCCCCTTTTGCACTCTTTCTTTTACTTAGGGACCAAAATGCAATATAATTTAATTATAGAGTCAAAATTAGAAGTACCTCATCTTTGGGATGTTACAACTACAACTTTCATTTAGACTTAATCGGATAATTCTCATTTTAATTTTATTTTTTTACAGTCAATAAAGAATACACTGTAAATTATTTTCAAAATTCATAACTTTTTTCATACAAATTCGGTTCTTGACGTTCTTTATACCGATTGTTTCATATTTTCAAGGACATCAACTTTTGTTTAGATTGTTTTGACTAACGAGTAACCCATATCCATCTCACTTTTATGACAAGCATATTGTATCGCGTCGAACGCGAAACTTCGAAAAATCATACAAAGTCAGATTTTTGCATTCTTTTTACTCACGGTTTCGTAATTACGATTATTATGATTTTCGTTTAGATCGTTTATCCTAAATTTGCTTTTATAAAAAATGTTCTTTTATTGTTTAACTATAAATTTTATATTAAGATTTTCTACAAATATTATATACTCATAATATTTGTCCTTATAACATGTATACAATAAATAAATATTTCTTTGACTCATAACCTTTACGAATAACAATTATTCGACAATATGGATAATAAGAATTGTTATCCCTTAAATGTCTAGTCCGGAATCGTCGGCGTTAAATGAAACCTGCTATTTCCCTGTCCACAATCGAAGCAGAGTACATGTTAGTGACCTTAATTAATAAAGGAGTGCATGTGGTTTGCTATACGGTCTCGTTTAAAATCTTGGTTTGAAGGTGGAGAAACATGCCTTGTTTTATGATAGTTAGAGTGTTTTGTGTCTTGCAAAGAATATGATATGTACTAAGAAGACAAAACATATTGATGTAAGGCTAAATTTAATTTGGAATGTTTTGAAAGAAGAAAGGTTTTATATTCAAAATATAGATACCAAGGAAAACCTAGTTCATGTAAGGCTAAATTTCATCTGGAATGTTTTGGGGACCGACCATGTTCTAGATAAGGTTTCCATTTGTACTTGGTCTATATATATAACGACTGCTAGTTATGGTTTCAATTATTCCATTTCTATCGTTTCAAGCTTGAGAATAAAAATCCTCTTACTATGTGGACGTATGTTACATTGACCAAACCACATTAAATACTATGCATTTGTTTGTGTGCATGTGTGTATAATATTCTCGTTTATTCTTGACACTAAAAATTCTTAAGAAATTTATATATGTGAAAACTATCTTTTCCTTATTGAAGTAAGAATAATAAAAAATAATGAAGAGAAAAGAAGCATAACATGAAGAAGACACTTAGTGAAGAAAAATACCATGGCTTATAGTTGATGAAGAAATCACCATTATCATCATTTCATTATCATTATGATTATCATTATATACTTATAAAGCTTGCATTTTTTCTTCAACAACATTCATTTGAAACTCCCATGTATTTTTTCCTTTCACCACATTCATTTGAAACTCCCATGACTTTTCAATTTCTTTCTAATAATTATTAT